AGCCGGCGTGTGTGTCAGACCTGTCCGCCTTGGGTGGCCCTACCAGGAACGAAGTTCCGGGCGGCATAGCTCTGACACTACTGTTTACACCCCCCACCGACTGTGAGGTAAGGGTTGGACTTTGGGGGTTTACAGTACCAGGTGTTCCCAAGCGGTCCCCCATCTAAGTACTGACCTGGTCCCCCATCTACGAGAACCGGTGTTTCAGCGTGATTTGACCGTAAGCGGCTTACAGTACCAGGTGTTCCCAAAGCAGCTAAGTACTCGACCTTCGGTGATCGTACGAGAACCGGTGTTTCAGCGTGATTTGACCGTAAGCATTATTAGCAGTAATACATTTTTAAAGAAATAATACTTCCAGCAATACACTTCTTACGAAACAAATATTGCCAGCAATATATTGTTGATCAATCCGAATGTACTTTCTATTTTTAGCCAAATCTGCTACCCATTGTGGTTGTTGTTACCGTGGAACGTATTCAAGTGATTTCATATGGTCTTTGTTACCTGCTAAAAGATTTTGTCTCTAATATTGTAGCGCTGATCTGATGAAGTGTCGTTTACTTTAAGAAAACGCAAATGCTCGCTTTTAATAGTCCTAGATCAACTTGTTTTTTGCATTTTACCAGCACAGCTAATACTAACTTCTAAGAAAGTGACTCACTGCGTCTTTACGGGCTAAGGTTTTGTACATGCATTGAATATTACTGACGCATATGATACAGTGTTTCTAGTATGCATTTAGAGATGCTTGATAAAATCCAAAAAAGAATCTGTAATCTTTTAATTGCTGACTTGCTGTCTCGCTTTTAGTTCCTTTCCCACCAGTGTAACGAAATATTCTCTGTGTCTTTCTATAAATAATTCCATGGTAATTGTTCTGACGAGCTTTTATTTTTGACAACATGTTTTTACGCATGTATGTTAAATAAGAGATTAGGTATCATCATATTACAGTTTAAGATGTAACCGTAATTTCTATGCTAACAGTTTATATTCTGGCCCTTCTCGCTCGTGGATAGCACCTCTGGCCTAATGGTTTTTCAGCAATTTGTGTAGCGTAATTGGACGTAGTTAGATATTATTAACAGAAATACTGAACACACATAATTGCCAAAGTTTTCAATAAACAAAAACACGATAAAGAAAAGAGAAAAACGGAGGAAAATAATATTAAGCAAGCAAACAATTTATGAAACTCATTTTTCTAATACATTTTCTTGCTAATTTGAAACGTTAACAGCGTTACTAACTCACTACTTTTTTTTTTAATTCAATTCACCCAAAGCAAGGATAATACACCACAAAAACGAAAGAAGCGACTGGAGATGAAAGAGAATGAAAGACATTAAGAGGAAACAGAAACAGAAATAGTCCGTCCAGGGTATGACGATAAACTACATCCGCGTCCTAGGTAAGACGATAAACTACTTCCGACAGCAATGTCTCTGTTTAGTAGGTTTTGAGAAACGTGGGACAACCTCTTGGTTGATGGTGTTTCCGGGTCCACCCTGACCCGGGGTGGTGGTAATTGTTTGGGTCCCAGCTATGGACAAATAATTAAAACCCAAACTTGTCCGCGTCCTTTTCAGAGCTTGTCTTTACAAATGTATGTTAAATACGAGATTAGGCATCAACATATTACAGTTTAAATTGCTAAATGTAAATGTAAGTTTTATAACAGTTTATTTTCTTGTCCTTCTCGCTCGTGGATCGCTCTTCCGGCTTCTTTGTTTTCAGTCAAATTACGTAATGTAATTGGCTGTAATTAAATATAATTAACAAAATACCGAATACACACAATTGAAAAAGTTTCCAATAAACAGAATCAGGATAAAGAAAAGAGAAGAACAGGGCAAAAATTAATATTAAGCAAGCAAACAATTTAGGCAAAGCAACTGTAATAAGGTAAAAAGTTTACAAATGGAATGGAAGCAACTAAATGCAATGTCGTTATTTTCTGTCTTCATAGACTACGTCCGACAGCAATGCCTCTGTTCAGGAGGTTTTGAGAAACGTTGGACCACCTCTTGGTTGCTGGTGTTTCCTGGTCCACCCTGACCCGAGGTGGTGGTACCTATTGGGGTCTAAGCTATGGACAACTAATTAACCACCAAACCTATCCGCGTCCTTTTGACAGCTTTTCTTTATAAATATTTCATAATTCCTCTTCTTTTATCGTTCTCTCTCTTTAATAATGTTTTACATTTGTTATATTTTCCCACTTAGTAAAGCCCTTCCTGCTTAATTTTCTTATTAGCCTGTTTAGGGTTAAAGAATTTTTAATTGTTTCCACTCCAAGCAAAGAGACTATGCAAATTGAATAGGGGTGGGAAGTAGTTAGAGGGAGGGAAAGCGAAAGAGAATGTGAAGATTGGCAGGATGAAGAAAGGGCAAAAAAAAAAAAAACAGGATTCAAGAAGACAGAAGATAGCGATTGGCGTTGCCTTTAAATATTTGAAGATTTTATTTATCAGGAAAGTAACGATAAGATTAGCACTCATTGCACTAGCGAGTTGCTTAACTCATTTAACTCGCTAATCACAGACATGCTCAGACATACGTAGATAGATAGATAGATAGATAGATAGAAAAGACAAATTAGAACGTTTGCTTTCCAAGCAGGGTTTCTGGTCAGGGATATGGCTTTCTGATATCATGGGTCTGTAGGAGGCGATCCTAGCCTGCGGCACCTTTGGAAAATGCCTAAAAACCATACCGTGTGTTGACACAAGTCTTGTGAGTAAATTTGGGTAAACGGACTTATTTGGAAGACGGTGGATGCTGAGCTAACATGAAGTCGACTTGTTAGGATTGTTGATCCCGCCAGATAACACGCTCCTGCCCCTGAAACTGTAACTAATGTCAGCTCAGTGTAGTTGCAGTATAAACCACAAGTGACCACTGTGGGTGCAGAACACGCGCATATGTGCCTGATCAAACGTCTGGAATAGTGATTTCCTGGCCACTTAAAAAGACAGGCATTCTCGCATACGGACAGTCAGCCATTAGTCTCTTTAATATATATATATATATATATATATATATATATATATATATATGCAGACCCCCCCAAAATGTGTGACACTTCAGGAAAAGAAAAAAAAAATCTTTTATAGTCTTATCAAATTGCGATAAAACTGTTTCCAAAGGAGACCTTAAGGACATTGTGTGTCGCAAAAACGAATGCCGATATTGGCGGCCATTAGACAAGAATTTGAAAATGCATATGCAGTCCCTCTGGACACTTTGGCCAACGTTGATCAAGCAGAAGTTCACCGTACTAACAAATGTCTGTAATCTAAAAGACACCATTTTGAGCATCTGTTGTTATTCTGCCCGGCCTTTTGGCTGGGGGTTTTGACAAGTAATGGATCGTTTCTTGGTGGAAGACTGAGATTCGATCAAGCTTTGACTAGCTTGGACTGGCTTCGGCCTGGACCTGTTAGGACAAGTTATGACCAGCTTTGACTAGGCTCTGACCAGCTTGGACAAGCTCTGACCAATATTTTGACCAGTGGCCTATGAGTGGAAACACTCGGGTCTCCCACGTTAATCGACCTTGTGTCATATCTTGATTTAGTGGGAATCAAGTAAATACCATTGTAGAGTTGAAAAATAACTTGTATTAACCCCTTTAGTCGCCAATTATTTTGGAAGAAAATAGGTACGTTTTCAGACGAGTACCTTTATTTGTTTGAAAATAGTAACAAAGAAACTGAGGCACTTTGAAGTACCCGATAGGTGTATAACACCTCTGCAAGTCGTATGAGTTGACAGTTGAATTTGTTTCAAGCTCAGTAGGCTATAAAAAGATCAATATCTATGTATAAACGCGTATGTCGCTGATTTTTTAAAGTATTTGTTCGTCCATTTCTGAAAAGATATTTTTCAGTGAAAACGTATATACACGTCTACTCACTTAATCTCGTGATGTCAGAATGTATTTGACATTAAAATATCTAAACAAGTTTTGTTTTCTTTTCTGAAGTATGTTTTTGTTTTTTTGGTGGACTGTAAATATGTTGAATTTTTATTTTGTAAAACCAAGTGACCAAAGGAAACAGGAAAATAAAAATAAGAACTAAGAGCGAATAAATCAAGAAACCAAGAGGAAATCCTTCAAAAAAATGAAAAGGTAACATAAACGGAGAAGAAAAGACAAGGAGACAGACAACTGTAATAATTGAGAGAGTGATATCTAGTGACAACAAAAGAAGAAACAGTGTGTAAACTGCTACTCTAGTTCTTGCAATCACAATCGTGCAGGTGCAAATGAACACTAGTCTTATCAAATGAGCATCGATAATCACTAATCTGATGGAAGATTAAAAAAAAAGTAGATTATACCTACACCGACACTCAAACTCAGACTTTTATTTAACTGTTTAATGTGGCTACTCTTCTCTTTTACTGTTCACACTCATAATCTACACCTATTTTGATTATATTTTTTACATGTTTTACTCTTCTAAATGATTTAAATTAAGTTATTTTAATGGCTATCACTAGCAAGAATCTCAAGTATTAATTTGAAATTTGCCTCTTTTATGTATATGATTGTGGACTCTCCGGTCGTATTCGATGTTTGAGGGTCAAGTAGATCAGTTCCTAGAAAACGACAAGCTAGACACCAGCACATATGATTTGATTATAGTTGTGGATGCTGCGTGCAGATCCAATCACACTTTTTGAAGGGCCGAATATAGACGTACCACAAGGTCCCGCCAGAGGTTTTGGATTCAGAGTTGTTATTCATCTATTTCATCCAAGTCTATATAACGCAATCTGTCCTCCTATTTAACCATAGCTCGAGGGGGAAGGAGAGGATTAATAGCTTTACCTAAAGTATTAGAACTTACTAGATTTGAACTCGGTTCTCCTAGTCTCAATCTGAGCCGCTATCCAATACTCCACCAGGCTGTTTCATGCTGGACGCAAACGTCCGGCCGCCTGACGATTGCGGCTAGCATGAAACAGTCTGTCGCCTCTGAGTTTTGTCTTCAGTGTTCACTTTTATATTTATATTAAATATCTCTGATATTGAGAACTTTGACCCATACATATAGCACACCTTAAACTCTCTCTCTCTCTCTCTCTCTCTCTCTCTCTCTCTATATATATATATATATATATATATATATATATATATATATATATATATATATATATATAACTGATAAAGATGTTACCGTAACTATTTTTTACAATATTAAAAAAGTACGATTAGTCGGGTAAATAAACTTTTATAATTTAAAATATTTTTTTAATATGTTTTCTATAAATGTGTTAATAAATATAGTATTTAACTTATACTAAATCCCTAAACTATGTTTTTAAAAAGAATTAAATATTTAAATTGATAGCAAACATCAAATTAATTTATTCGGGTTTTTTTTTTTAGACATCTAAATTTCTATCAAGCATTAAAATCTATTCTTTACATAAATTGTTAAAACCCAATTAGAGCCTCTTTCTCTTTACTTCTCTCTCCCTCTTCTTTCTTTTTTCTTTTTCCTTTTTCTTTTCTCCCTTCTCCCCTCCCATTTCAATATATCACTTCCGTCTAAATAGGTCAAGGTCTGGTCACTCCTCCTACCCCAATACAAATTATACTTAAGAGAGATATGAAATTTATCCCTCCCTGTAACTCTACCATGTCTCTTTAACTACGCCTTTTACACTCTCTGTTAAATTACAAAAACTTACACTGCCCATCAATTTTAATTTCATTTTTCGTTTCATTTTTGGAAGTGCTATCTGATGATCCGGCGTCCTGTAAAAGGGCTTTGGTGAATTAAATTATTATAATGGTACCTTATATTATTATAATGGTCTGTTTTTCTTTTAAATATTAGCTCTGGATTTACATCGAGCTCTAAGATTTCATCCTCCTTGTGATTACCCATATGGGTTTTCATAAGTTCTTCATATATATATATATATATATATATATATATATATATATATATATATATATATATATATATATATAATAATAATAATAATAATAATAATAATAATAATAACAATGAATTCCCTTTTCCGTGAATATATGAGAACAAAATGGTTCTGTGTATTAAAAGATATTCTCTTGTGACATCTATATGCCAGGATCAGAGATTTTAATTATCAATCTAGGTAGAACATGCTTACAACTGCGCAGGTAGAGACCGTAAAATTGCTTACCGAACTGATGATGGCTGAAGAAATTAAAAGAAATTTTTCAATGGAAAAAAAAAAACAGCGCCAAAGCCTGTTTTCTGCTACAACGAACTGAACTTGTTAACCTCTTGCCAATGATACAATATATATCACACCACATTAAGTCGAACATCCAACGCTCCTCGCGTAATAAATTACATTAAAAATTCACTCACGTACTCAGATTGTCATATAGTTTCTGTACTCGTCGTTAGGGACGACATAACCCGGATTATCTCACTGTTAACTCTAATTAACGAATCAGTGTAGATTATCATAATTAAATTAATCATTTAAATTAAGATCATCTAGATCATTGCTTTGTTGGGGCCAGTTTTTACCGTTTTTATGTTTATCATCTGCGGTTACGTAGAGAAAACACTTTTAAAAGTTCATTAAGGGTATTCAATGCCGTCTTGAATAAATGTTAGTTCCATCCTTCATAATTCAGATATTTCCAGTAAAGGCCCCATGTATTTCATGTATAGGAAAGGGAACAATTTATCGAAGGCTATAAAATAAATAAGTCTGTTTATAATTCTATGTAGGTACCTCTCTCATATGTATCATTTCGGTTAAACAAATAGGAGAATAGCTGTCTTCACATCTTTTTTTTTTGTTGTTTACTATGTCTAAATTCGGAATTCCATTGATTGTTCTTGGGAGAAATACTTTAGTGTGTTTAAGTTACACGCTCCACGCTTTTGGACGCTAATTGCTACAAAATAAAAGAGAGAAATGTCATGCTATTTAACATATAGCTTTTGAGGAGATAGAGAATCCAAATTTATGGATTTCGTTAAGAAACTTAATGCTATATAAACTTCTATAGGGTAAGAACAGGATTCATTTAAATTCCATTTTCCGCGTTGTTGAATGTCAGACCACACCCACCACCGACGAAATGGTTTTAATATTTCAAATACCTTGCCCGTTGTCAATAATGCCTCTCCACAACTTCCCAGGAGCTTTCTGGATGCGATAAACCACTTAGAAACTCTGGTTTACCGCAAATATTCGAAATATCTATGTTGATGTATAAATGTTGCAACTCCTCTAAAGAAGCCCTGAGAGTATAACGGTTGAAATGCAATGATAACAGGAACATAGCCGAAGATACTTGTTTAAAATTGTAAGCGTTCATTTCCGAGATTCTAACAATTTCATCCAAATAATTGTAAATATTGTTGTCATTGTTTCTGTCGTAATTATGTTGAAGATGACAGGACTTGATCGTCGATCGATTCGTTAATATTATGATAATTATGTAGGGGTGAAAAGGGTATCCGGTGAGTGTAGACATGTTTAATGTGACAAACACCAGTTGCTATTCATTACAACTGGGGGCAGGACATATCTGACCACGCCTGTTGGAATGCAGGATGCAGAAAGAAAGACGTCACAAGCTCACAACGGGAGAGTGAACGGAGGAACCCACATGGTCTCGCTAGAAACATAAATCACACCATCGACCTACCCTTGATATCCGGTGGGAAATATTACAAGTAAGACTCTGTTTCCTTTTCTTCCCTTTCACACTGCTTGTTACATGTATATGTTATAGTTTCTCTGTGTGGGGCAGATTAGTAACATATATATATATATATATATATATATATATATATATATATATATATATATATGAAAGAAAATACAGAAAAAAAAAAACAAAATCTGAATATGCAATTATGTAGTATTAATGTTAAAAAAATAAAGTCGACGTCGGACGTTTCGGTCTATTTAAGACCATCTTCATGGACATGTTCATTTAAACATAATTAACATTAGAACTTATAAAATTTAACATTAAAAAGACGATGGACATAAGAGCCCAACTAATCCAAACAGACAACTGAAATTTTATACAGATCAGCGTTCTGTTTAAATATGATCACGTAGTCGTCACGTGGGCGATATTGTTAAAACGTATTCGAAGATGATTTCCAAAAATTAAAATATTAAAAAGTCGATTGAAAAATTTTTATAAACAGTTTAAGAAATCTCTCCCGTTGATGTCGGAATACGTAGTGATCATTTGGTTCTTATATCTTCAACAAGCTTGAAGTCCTTCCCGTTACAAGGCAAATCAAAAATGATTTCAAAAACGATGGAACAGTTCTAAAAAACAGTTCGATAATAAATCCATTCCTTACTTGATCAATAGATTCTATTATTCTCGTCCAAGCTTGAAATCTTCCACGTTATAAAGTAAATTCAGGTTTGTATTTCCAGTAGACAGTATGTAAGCAAATATATATATACATATATATTTATAAAAATATATATACAACATACTGTCGGATTTATATCCATATATTTGCTTACATATATATATATATATATATATATATATATATATATATATATATCGGTACAGAAATTCCCTTTAAGAGCAATTTGTCATTCGTTGTTCCATCCGTGTATTAATGTGTTAATATGTAATGGAAATAATAATTCCTATAAAGGGAAAGTGGAAAATGTTTTCTGATTTACCACCTATATTAATCGTATCTACTGTGTTGTATATATATATATATATATATATATATATATATATATATATATATATATGATATCAAACATTATGAAATGGACAAACTCCGACAATTAATTTAAGACATCTTTATGTTTATACGTTCTTTTTTATAGATACAAATATTTAAGTAAATGCTCTGTTCATAATAAACAATATTAACAAAATTTAACGTCTTGAAATTTTCTCGGACATTCAGGCCGGTAAATGTAAATATTTTTATCTAGAAAAAGAACGTCGTATAAACATGAAAATGAAATTTTATATATATATATATATATATATATATATATATATATATATATATATATATATATATAACAGCATTTCATGTGAGACGTAGCACAGTACCAGTGTCTGATTACTATGGTTTCGTCGTAGTATTCAAACTATCTGATGTCAGGAAAGAACACTGTTGTTTATCTCTGCCAAAAATATTCCAATGAGACCCCTAAACTATCAAGCATTCACAGTAAAGTATTTATCGAAAGAGGATAGTGTATAAATTAGATGTGTTCAATTTTCAGCAAAGTCGATTTGTCATAGTGGGTATTCTTGATAACATCGGCGTTGGGGCTTGATATTAGCGAGCTAAGCCGTAGTAAATGCTTGAAATCATTCAAAGGCTTGACACAAGTTTTTAAAAGAAATATTTTTAGTCGGTTAATGGTTACACCAGCACGACACGACAAGTCATTGTGGCGGAGTGAACTAGAGTACTGGCTTTATTCAGCTAATGATTACTTGAAATTATACTTTCTCTGACAAAAAATGCCGGTTTGCTCGGTATAGTTACACGGGTTGTTCCCGTATTTGTTAAACTGCACACATGTACATGGGCATGCGTCTTCAATTAAGAATTGATACTCACTGCATTTCTATTTTTTTTTCTTAATGACACCCATGACAGAGAAGCCATTCTCATAGAATTCAGTTGAAGGGAATGGTAGAAAGGATTTCAAAGTAATTTCGGCGTACTCAGGATATTCTGCGTTTTCAAAAGGATCAAAGTATTGTTGCCGCTTTGACAATCATTTTCATCCTTCGACGGTAGCTGTGTACCGAAAGCCTGTAGTTTAGGGAGCGGCATCGTTATGCGTACAATACTTTGAGCAGCAATTTTCTAAAGCCTGATCTAAAAGAGAAGTTTTGCCTCATGCCAGAGAATCGATCGCCCAGAGAGCATTCTAACCTTGCACCGAAAATGATAGGATCAATTAAAGTAAAGAGATCAAAGAAAGCTAGTTAGGTTGTCAGTATCCGACCAAATTTAATGGTTAAATTATAGATGAAAGCATTGCTAGTTAATTTTTTCCATACATTAAGGAGAACATATCGACTAATTGAATTGAATATATTGCAGCTAAATTAAATTATTTACCAAAAAGAAACCTAACATATTTTTAAAAACTATCAAGAGGAATATAGTAAGCAAAATAATATCAGTTATGAAACCATTAATAATCTGAAACAAATATCGAGAGAAAGAAAAGTGAAAGTGAAAGTTAAGGGTAAGCGTCGCAAAGAACACGTGTTACGAGAGTAACTAACTTGTCGTCTTTTGTAATCATCCTATGTGTTATTATAGAAAGTTCTGTTACTCATATATTAGGCGATACTCCATGTGTCCCTGCAGTTTCCATCTAACGCAATTACATATAATCCATTGTTCAGTATACATGGCTCCTTGCATGACGTTTAAAATAAATATCATCATGGCTTCGCTTCGCAAAACGAATATCTCGAGGGAATATTTACGCGTCGGTTGCATGCACGTTTGTGACTGATAAGTCCAATGCAGGACAGGCATACAGGGTCGCAATAGTTGCAACTAAAAGGCTGGGCAGGCGTCAATGACATAACATTGTGTTGCAGCGCTAAGCAGGTTGACTGTTAACCCCGCAAACGGAAAAATAATATAAGATAATACGATCGAAACAAGGACAACAAAAACGAGGATGTAAAAGTTTAAGCCAAATTTTATTAAATAAATTTGGCACGAATATATACAGATAATCGTTTGTAGTAGTTCGGTCGTGTAGTCTTGGAGGAGTGTTGTCAGGTCTCAAGGCGACAGCTTGGAGGTAGGCCGAATGGAACCAGCGATGTTCTAGGTCCAGTCGATCCCTGGATGTCTGTACTTGCAGAGAGAGAGGATCGACGCGGACAGTGCTGTGGTGTAGTCAGTTCGTCCTTGGGTGGAGTGTCGCGCAGGATCGCAGCTTGGTAGTCCTAATAAAAGGACGCGGCTAGGTTAGTCCTGAAAAGGACTATTGCATATTATGTAATCGAGGGCAGACTATTGCATATCATGTAACCGAGGATAGGCTAGTGCATATCATGTAACCGAGGATAGGCTAGTGCGTATCATGTAGCCGAGGATAGGCTAGTGCATATCATGTAACCGAGGATAGGCTAGTGCATATCATGTAGCCGAGGATAGGCTAGTGCATATCATGTAACCGAGGATAGGCTAGTGCATATCATGTAGCCGAGGATAGGCTAGTGCATATCATGTAGCCGAGGAAAGGCTAGTGCATATCATGTAGCCGAGGATAGGCTAGTGCATATCATGTAGCCGAGGAAAGGCTAGTGCATATCATGTAACCGAGGATAGGCTGCTGCTGATATCTGCGTCGCTGCTGCTGACGATGAAGCTGGACTGCTCTGCTGGCTCTAGCTGCTGCTGCTGCTGCTGATGAGGAGGAGGCCGGACTGCTCTGCTGGCTCTAGCTGCTGCTGCTGCTGCTGATGAGGAGGAGGCCGGACTGCTCTGCTGGCTCTAGCTGCTGCTGCTTCGTGTGGTCAGCGTAGGTGAGAGGGGGGAGCTCGTCGCTCAACCCCGAGGCCAAAAATCAGCCGAGAAGATTAATTTGGTGGAAAAAATCCGCTGTGTATATATAGGCTGAGGTCGGCAACGTAGCCTGTCAGCGATATATTTGGGGTGATGACTGAAAATTACCTTCTACTTTTTGGCTGTACACATGGATTCCATTCGGACACCATGTGTATATAAAGTAGTTTCTGGTAATTGTTTTTGGTTAGGAAAGTTAGTATATGTAAATGTTTCGTTTTTTCTTAGTTTGTGTGAGACGTTGACTGAAAAACGCTTAGTCACCGGAAGTTAACGGCATTCGTTATGTTTTCCGCGGTGACGCTTTTAGATGTTTGAGTAGCCGGCAGTAACTTCCGGCCGGGTGCGATAATTGCATTACTTCCCTGTATGCCACTTGTTCCTGAGAGGAGCCCTGCAGTTATTTTCAAAGAAGGAGACAGCATGGTTGGTGGTGAGACGCCAGACATCACAGTTCTCAGCCAAGGTTGAATTTTGGCAATGATTAATGTGACAGGCAACGAAGGATTTTTTCAGACAATATTTGAATCGCGTCTTTACGCCGCCTCTGCCAGGATAGCCAGTAGATACCTCAGTGTACAATAAGAATTTTACGCAGGCGATGATTCTCCACTCTGAAGAAATGTCCAGCCCAACGCAGCTGGGTCTTCAGCACCATGGCCTCAATGCTGGTGATGTTAGCCTTTTCAAGAACTTCAGTATTGCTGGTGGAAATGTTCGAGGAGTCACAGGTGGTGTCGGTAGAGGGCCAAGGACTCTGAGCCATATAGGAGAATGACGAGGACGATAGCTCTATACACACTGATATTAATGCCCTTTCTTCAGGCACTTTCAGTTTCATTGCATGACGTTTAAAATAAATATATCATACCTTAAAACTATCTCTTTCTGTCTGTTTCTTTCTCTCTC